TTCAAGCTAGGTGATTAGTCGAATTTCGTTTTGCAATGGCGAGGAAGCTGCTGCAAATTACTTCAAAGGGCTCGCTCACGGCTCACTAAGGACATTGTATTCTCCAAGTTCTTATTATAAGGCAACACCATTTTTGCCGATAATGTGACAAGGTGCTCTTGCTTACTCAAGAAGTGTATTTTTAACATCAATGGCATGTAGGTCGCCAAAATTGAAGGTACCGCAAAGCAGTTCAGACAGATGTTTACGTGGGGAGAAGAGAGCCCTATAGAAACATCTGATATGAAGTTTATCAGATTGCAGCAAATACTCAGTTCCATCCCTCATAGAGGTGGGTTAGTTTTGAGGAAGAAGAATAGGAAGGAACCAACGCAATCCATGAAATAGCTGAAATTCCTGATGAACGCCTGTGGGAAGAGGGAGGGGGGAATACGAGATGAGAAAGCGGAATGTAAAGAGCCATTCGAAGAAGGGGGCAAAGAGCAGGATGGAGAGTGAAGTGAAGAATGAGGAGACACGTGCACTGAATGATGATAAGCTTGATGAGAAAGCAAAGCAAATAGGAGGGGCGTTTTGCTGGAGTCGATACGTCCACACTACCTCTCGTCATATTGGATGCCGGTAGTGATAATTTCTTCTGTCGTGGTGCGTTGGCTGCATTCTGCACCGAAGCATATCATACCTTCATCCTGGTTCAGAAGATTGGGCAACAGGGATCGCCTGCTCTGCAGTGTTCTGCAAAGCAGGTGGAGTTTAACAGGTAGAAGTGGTGTCTGGAAGGTGTTGGGTAGTGTGTCTTTCGGTTGAGCACTTCGTTAGGCCCCACGTTCCTCCGTGCTTCGCTTCGTACACGCTGTTGATTGCGATGTCTCATCCAGATGGCACTGCCCATCTTTACGACCAGCATGACTATACAATCTTTGCGTGCATTCTTCCTCACAAACCATCAATTGTGTCCTAACCCAATATCACGGACGTAGACGTCAATTTAACGACTGTGAGTCGGTCAGTCATGTCTCGACTCGTCTCATTTCGTCTCCTCTGGTCTATTCTCACAAGGATGTTGGGCACATGTGCCTTGGAGCAGTTGCGTGTTGCGTGACCATGAAACCATCACTTCATTGACCGAGCGAAGCTTGCATCTCACTAGCGTTCCCACTGGTAATTTTGTCAGTTTCGTGCTACATCAACTGGTGTTGTCTAAATACCATGCTGGTAGAGAGCTTTGCTAGCCGTAGGCACTCGCTCCGTTTCATCCCATTCCAGATAATCCCCTCTCCCCACCTCCTCTCCACTCACCGTTGCATTACTGCTGGGTGGAAGAAAGAGTAGAAGGGGCTGCAGCTGCTTAAGGTTGGCGTGGATTACCCTAATGATCCAAAGTGGAGACGAAATGCAGCAGCTGCTTCTGCTGATGCTCCATCAGCACTCTGACATTAACAGTGGAGGCGGATGCCACCGACGGCTGAATGCTGCTACTTGCAGCATGAGCAACCACCTTGCCCAACGCACTAAGCATGTTGACACGATATGTAAGCGCCTCCATTAATCGGTGTTACCTTCACAAGCCTTTGCAGCCCTATCGACATAGACTTTGTCCTCCGACTCCACGCAATACAACGTGTGGTCTGCTTGCACTTCCAGCCAAGCTTCCAGGTGCCCTCGTTTTAGTGCCTTCTCTCCGTGGATCAAATTCTCATTGACGCAGCAATGACGGGAACACTGGTCACCTAGGCAGACGAATCCGGTAGTGGAAGCGACATCGTGGTGTCCCTCTTTACTGACAACATGGCTGCCCAGTGCACCAACAGTTTTCAATCGCACACTAATTGAAGGAAAGAAAGGAAGAAGAGAAGAGATGGGATGATGGTGAAGGCGAACGTGAATGAGCATATGCGTGCAAACGCGATCCTCCCCTCAAAGCAGTGGAAAGTGTTTTCAGCACTTTGTGAAAGTATAGGCAATCGAAGTGGCGATGGCAAAGACGTTTTATCTCCTACGCAATCCGCACAAGTGTGTCAGGTGCTCTGCCACCCATCACCTAGATGCATGGAAATGCATAAATGCATAAATGCCTGAATTCATGAGTGG